AAAACCAAACACAGTGGATCCAGTTCTGTTTCCATGTACACAACCAAATGCAATGAATCCAGGGGTGAGGGATGGGTGTTTCTAGGCACATAACCAAATGCAATTGATCTAGGAATAAACAAAATTCAGTTTTTCAAAGTATGTGAACTCAATGAAAGGGCTTTTATTTTCACCCCTGCCATGCCATATCATTATGGTGAGGCCAGTGTATGTGAACAAAGTTTATTATGTTTATCAGGTAATTAAGTTCAAAGGTATGACATTTACACAGACAGAACAGGACATAGTTGGAACCTTGACCTTCAGAAGTTTAGTAACTTTCATTTACCTCCATACTTGCTTTAAAACCATTTTGAACTCCCTAACGAGAATGGATAATTACGATGAATGGTAAACAATATAGCAATAAATAGTATCAAACCTTATAGAAGGCCTGAAGGTCCCCAATAGGAGGTGAAACTGTTAGATAATCTGGAAATTTATCTTGCAGGTGAGCGATGAGCATGCCAAACTGGGTGCCCCAATCTCCTACATGATTTAACCTAATATCAGAGAATATAAAATCATTTAAAAAAATTACAAAGATGTTTAAATTAGAAGAATTATGTTCCATTAGAAACGACTAACATTTAATTGCCAATATATCACCATTTAGTAATATCTGTTTACTTGGCTGTTTCCTCAATTGGTCTGCACACTCCATGAAAGACAAACACAATGTCTGTGACATTCAGCTCTATATACCCAATCACAGGCTGCACATAGCAGGCATTCAGGATTTGCTGAATGAATTTCCTATCAATGGACTATAATCTGTTTATTGTGTAGCTAACTGGGACAATGACAGCTAAGTCAATGTTGGTCATTCCCACAATTTTATGAAAATTTAACTTTTTACCAATTATCTTAGTGTAATTTAGACCACTAGTCCCTAAATGTCAATGGACAAAACTCTTGGAAATATATGTCAATCCAATCACTTCCCTCTGCTTTTATCTAATCCCAAACCACAAGATCACCTCAAGTGGATTATGATAGCCTCCTCACCTATTACTATAGTCTCCCTTCTCTGCCTAGCTTCTTCACAGTAGGTAGCCAGAGTAATCTTTAGTTTAATCACATAAACCCATAATTAAAACTCTCAAGTGGATTCCCATTACACTTAGAATAAAATCCCCATTTCCTCCTATGGCCCACAAGGTCAAATGTAATCTGTATCTTGCCTACCTCTCCCCTCTACTGGGACATAAACCCCTGGTATACAGAAGGTTCTCAAGAAATATTTGTAGAAAGAATGAATGTGCTTTTATCCTTGGTTCCACCTCTAGAGTCTAAAAAA